TTTTTACTTCAATTACATTTTAATATCACACATTTATGCATATCTTAGTTGTAAATGATGCAGTCCAGAGTCCAGATTCACAAATAGAACCAAGTGGTTTCATTTTAAAGCATGTTGCAAAACAGCCACTTTGTGCATGTTTGTGCAATGTGTTTTTTTATGCATATTCTCTCATTTATACACATTATTTTCTCGCACAATTTGACACATTATATAACGCTCAGTTTTCTCCCTTCCTCTCCATTTCAGACTCTCTCCTCCGGAGTCTTTGAGCTGAAAATCAACTCCTTCTCCAGCTCGCGGGGAGTTTGTCGCTTCCAGACCCGGGATTGCCAGATCTTTTTCCGGGTTTGCCTCAAACACTCGCAGGACGTTATCAACCCGGAGCCCCCGTGCACGTACGGGACCGCGCTCACGGACATCTTCGGCGCGGACTCCAAATCCATCTCCAGTAGCGCGCCCATCAGGGTGCCTTTTCACTTCAAATGGCCGGTAGGTGACATAAATCACACGGTTTGGCCTCAGAAGTCTAACACCTTTAGTCCTCCAGTGTGCTTCAAAAACTCAACAATGTGCATTTAAAGGCTGAATAAGTGATTCCGCTTCTCATTGATTCACTTCTAGCATGAATGATGGAAGTAAAGCTTACAAACCAGCAGGAGTTAACATATGCATGAGTAAAAGAAAATAAAGAAAAAGTCATGTTTCTGGTCATTAATGGATCTTTTTTTTCTTTTAAATCTTATTTTCAGGGGACTTTCTCTCTGATCATTGAAGCCTGGAACGCGGAGTCTTCAGGTCTTGAGTCTACAGGTACGTTGCTTCTGCACCGCAAGGGGGCGACAAACACACACACACACACACACACACACACACACACACACACACACACACACACACACACACACACACACACACACACACACACACACACACACACATACACACACACACACACACACACACACACACACACACACACACACACACACACACACACACACACACACTACATTATTCTCCCTTTCAGCATCTTTCAGAGTTGTCTTTGTACTGTTTCTGTTTCTGATTGTATGTAAAGCGTCTTTGAGCACCAGGAAAAGCGCTATAAAAATCCAATGTATTATTATTATCTCATTTTGGCACACACATTAAACGATATTTCCCCCCCTCCAGAGAACCATAACAACCTGATCAGCCGCCTGGCGACCCGCCGCAGACTCGCCGTTGGAGAGGAGTGGTCCCAGGACGTGGACTTCAGTAACAAGAGCGAGCTCCGGTACTCGTACCACGTGCTCTGTGAAGAACACTACCACGGGGAGGAGTGCTCCGCCTACTGCCGCCCGCGCAACGACACCTTCGGCCACTACACCTGCGACGAGCCGGGGAACCGGGTCTGTCTGGAGGGATGGACCGGAGAGTACTGCTCCGATCGTGAGTTTTTGCACACTTTAATGCATTTAAACCACATTAACCCTGCCAGAAAACACCAACATGATGCTTTAAGGCAGGGGTGTCAAACTCAAGGCCCGGGGGCCAAATCCGGCCCGTGACTTAACTTCATGCGGCCCCACAAGAGCTCTGAAAGAATATCATATGTTTATTATACATGCCGATTTACAGAAGCACGTTGCCCATAAACTACCTGTCCCACAATGCATCTCAAATATGAATTTCTTCTCAGAATTTGAAATAGTTTTCTTCAAAATATTCATTTTTTCTCAGAATTGTACTTATTTTTTTAGATTGTGACTTTTTCTCCAGAATGTGGCTTATTTTTTTAAAATCATTTTGTGACAGGCTCACTGAAGAGACTTGCAATTATTTGCCCTCGACTTCTGCTTTCAGACGTAGTTAATTATGAAGTTATTACCCTATCAGATAATAATCCAATGCAGAGGCAATAATGTAATATAATACAGGTGTGTGGTGCAGTGGGTTGTGCGTATGTGTTCGGATCAGGGGGTCTCAGGTTCAAACCCCACTGCAGTCAGCATGTCGTTGTGTCCCTGAGACACTTCACCCCAAAGTGCTCCTGTGGTGATTGCCCACAGTATTGAGTATGTAAGTCGCTTTGGATAAAAGCGTCTAACAAGTGACATGTAATGTAATAATACATTATTTTATATATATTAAATATTTATATATGTATTTTTATATATCTTAAAGGGCCCATGTCATGCTTTTCCGGTTATTACCCGTCCCCTTGTGTGTTATGAAGGTTTTTATGCATGTAAACGGTGTGCAGAGTCAAAACCCTCAAAGTACACCCTATAGCGAGTAAAACTCTAACACAGAAAATACCTCCCCAAAACGCCTTGTTGGAGATACGTCATTGTCCATTTGATTCTTCCGGGTACGGGATGATGTAATCCCGTACCCGGAACGAAATGGACCAATCCGTGGAGCCGTTACGTTAGGTCCGCGGAGCCGTTACGTTAAGCTGATTGGTCCAAATTGACCAATCCACGGACTTCCTCACACACACACACAGTGCAGG